GGCTTCTGAAAAAAAAAAAAAAAAAAAAAGACAAAAACGAAATATTTTATTAAAATAAATTGATATAACGAAAAGAAAGGATATTCGATGATAAGGTCTCAGCATGCATGAACATAAAATCAAGAACATAAAATCCGTATTATGCATACTTTCTTTCAATGAGGGTGGATCGCGTACCATTTAGCCTCAATAATACCCGGTATACAAGCAACACACACTCATTGAGGGTGGCGATAAATATTCATAATAAATAGTAATACAATGTCTAATAATAGAAATAGTAAGCCATGATCACCAGAACTATTTAATATGTGTGAGATCCCACAACAGATGGAGAGGAGAACAAAACATTTAAGGGTGTAGAAAACTTTGAGGGAAATCCCGAAAGAGAAAGTCTAAAAAGGACAATATTTGCTAGCGGTAGGCTTGGGCTGTGTTACAAATGGTATCAAAGCCAGACACCGGGCGGTGTGCCAGCGAGGACGTTGGCCCCCCTGAGGGGTGGATTATGAGATCCCATATCGGTTGGAGAGGAGAACGAAACATTCCTTATAAGGGTGTGAAAACCTCTCCCTAACATACACGTTTTAAAAATCTTGAGAAGAAATCCAAAACTCGAAAGGGAAAGCTTAAAAAAGACAATATTTGCTAGTAGTGGGCTTGGGCTAGGGCAGTGGTTCACAAATTATCTTGAAAATGACAAAGAAAAAAAAAAAGGAGAAAAGCTTATAAGAAGTTACATTGTCATAGATTAGTGAAAACATAAAGCCAATATATTATCAGTACAGTATACCTTGAGAAGTGCAATGAAGGCGGGTGAACGCTGAAATGCAGCAAGCATAAATTCTAGGAGCCTCTTACGAACCTATAAATATAGAACTAAAAAGTTCAAATTCTTAACGAACACTCGAATGTGATCTGCAAATGTTAACCCGTGTTCTAGGCAACAAAAGACATAACTGAACATAATAGTACCATACAGATTTAAGGGAAGGAAATACAACGCACACCTTATAGGAGAAATCTTTGTCGGGAAACAATATTGAGTTTCTTGACATAAGCAGTGGAATCAACGCACAGATTAATGCTGAAAAAGAAAGGTAAAATGTAAATATCTAAAATACTTCTAACCAAAATAAGCAAGAAATTCTAAGATTCAAAGGAAATCTAAAAAAGAATCGTACAATTGTTAACCTCTCGCAGTGCCACGAAAAAATAGACATCAAGAATTCGAGGTGTCATGTTCAGAATTTGTTTCAGCCTATCAGATTGAGCAGAACTTAATGCAGTGTTAATTGCTGCAGTCATCCCAGGTGAATTCCAATGTCGTTCCTGAAAGGATAGTAAGTAAACTCAAAATCTTCTGGCATCCAGCCACAGAATAAAGATTACATAGGCCTACGGTTCCCCGAGCCTTCCCGCAGTTTAGAAGCCGAAGTAATTATCTAAAAGCCTATAACCTCCATAGATAATGAGTAGCATAAGGAATATTTCCCTGTAGTACGTTGGTCAAGGAGTAAATAAAACAAGCAATTATGGGCTACGAGTGTAATTCGAGTGTGTATGCACGACAGTTCGCAGAACATATCCATATGCAGATTCCTTCCACAGGAATACAAAATGAAAAAACAACATGCTAGATAGTTTAATAGATTCATATTTGTTGAGCTTATTTTAAATTTCTGTATTCCCATAGCATAGTCTTTGTTTGTAATAGCCCAAGCCCAAGCCCACCACTAGTAGTATTGTCCTTTTTGGGATTTTTCTTTCGAGATTCCCCTCAAGGTTTTTAAAATGTGTCTATAGGGAGAGGTTTCCTCTTATAAGGAATACTTCGTTCCCCTCTCCAACCGATGTGGGATCTCACAATCTACCCCCCTTGGGAGCCAAGCGTCCTCGCTGACACACCGTCTGGTGTCTGGCTTTGATATCATTTGTAACAGCTCAAGTTCACGGTTAACAGATATTGTCCTTTCAGGCTTCCCCTCAAGATTTTTAAAACGCGTATGCTAGGGAGAGGTGTTTTCACACTCTTATAAGGAATGTTTCGTTCTCCTCTCCCAACCGTGGGATCTCACATTATTAGTGCTATGCAATTAACCAGCTACTAAAATGTAGAATATAGACATAGAGAAAGAACCCCCACCGAAAGACCATCGTTTTCATCCTTCAAAAGTTCAAGGAAGAGAGGATCAGCAACATCTATTGTGTTGCTATCCTCAGATTCAGAGCCTCCTCCTTCATCCCCGATGGTTGAACCAGTGTAAGCCTCATCCATAAGTGCAAGTAGCATCTGTTATAACACGAGGATTATAACATATTATGAATTAAACTTTTATCCATGGGCTTTTTGGAATTGGGATTCTGAATTCTGATATAACCTCAGGAGCTTTACTCTTCTGGATTGAAGCTATGCTATTTCCAACTAGTGATCCAGAGGAACGCTCTACCCTTTCCAATGCAACTACCAAAACTGTAATCAATTACCAACAAAAGTTGAAATTTAGAATCAAGTAACACAGTTACATAATGTAATGCATGGAAACAAAAAGAAACAGAGGAAGGAAAGACCCAGCAACATAAACTCACCAGGGAAATCCATGAGAGATGGAAACAGTGGAAGGAAAGACCCAGGAGAAATCAATGCTGGAAAGATCTTCAGAAATGGTTTCTCCAACCTGCAAGCAAGCAACTGCACCAATTAGCTGTCGTCCACAAATAACATCCAGTTAAACAATTACCAAGAAAAAATCTCCAAATATTCTGACCCAGAACGAGGTTTGTATTTCCAGAATTTGTTCATCCAGTAAAAAATTATAAATAAAAAAAACATTTGCGAAAATAGAACTCAAACAAGAACAATTGTGTATAACAACTCACTTTTCTCCATTCCACGCAATCAGCTTTAGCAGCAATGGAAAGAACTGCAAATATATCAATCTGAATTAGATGAACATCTTTCTCCTAGTCTAACATTGAATTCTACTCAATGAATGGTCAAAGGAGCCGTGAGCACATGTTGACAATAGAGGCTATAAACTTGAAAGGTGCAATATTTGTCAATTTGGTAGCCCATCAAAGAGGAGAACAAAATGTCTTCCCAAGGCATTCAGTTCATATGTAAAATAAGGTATTATCCATAGGTATGCTGCATATAAATGGGTAGAAAGTGTAGAAACATTTTATTTTTGCCGATAATCTTACCTACCATACTCTTCGCAAATATCTAAACTAACATTAATAACAAATTTTGTGTAAATGCTACAATAAATTACAGCGAATAAATATAGGTGTAAATGCATATTAATCAAGAAATAGAGGTTTTCTCATCAATCATTTTATAAATTTGATTACAAGAAATAATTTTTGATGTTAGGCTAACATTAATAAACCAAAATAAAATAGATAGTGTTGTAAGTCTAAATTAAACTGCTGTTTTTTTCTTATTATTTTTCAGAGAATTACATGTCTTACATATATAAAACCCTTAGATACTAGAGTAAATCTAAATAATAATTCCAAGATACTAGGTAACTAAATCTAAATATATCCAACGTCAACTACTTACTTCCCTTATTTAATGGGATAAACAAATAAACACTCCCCTCAAGTTGAGCAATAGATATCATTCATCATCGGTCTGTATATTAACTCATGAATTACACAAATATCTCATAACTTAAGCATCTCCTCACTTGAGGCTAATCTTTCGATACTCCCCCTCAATCTGAGTAATAGTTATCGACACTACCCCTCAATCTGAGTAATAGATATCGACACTCCCCCTCAATCTGAGTAATAGATATCGACACTCCCCCTCAATCTGAGTAATAGATATCATTCATTCTTAGCTTGGATACTAACTCATGAAGTAGTAAGCTGTGAAGTTCCCCAATCTGAGTAATAGATATCATTCATTCTCAGCTTAGATACTAACTCATGAAATAGTAAGTAGTGAAGTTTTTTTGTGAGCACATATGTTAGTTGAAGCCATGAGAGCATATTATCCCCTTGGAGCACTTCCACGGGCGTTGCTCGCCTCTATGCTCACTCGTCTTGGAGCACTTCCACATGCGTTGCTTGCCTCTCTCATGCTCACTTCTATTGGAGCATTTCCACGACCAGTGCTCGCCTCTTTCCTCCTAAAGCACTTCCATGGGCTTGCTCGCCTCTCTCGTGCTCACTCCTCTTGGAGCACTTCCACAAGCGTTACTTGTCTCTCTCGTGCTCACTTTGTTGGAGCATTTCTACGGGCGTTGCTCACCTCTCTCCTCTTGGAGCACTTCCACAAGCGTTAGTTGTCTCTCTCGTGCTCACTTTGTTGGAGCATTTCTACAGGCGTTGCTCACCTCTCTCCTCTTGGAGCACTTCCACGGGTGTGGTGTTGCTGGCCTCTCTCATGCTCACTCCTCTTGGAGCACTTCGATGGGTGTTGTTAGCCTCTCTCCTGCTCACTCTTCTTGGAGTGTATGGCTTAATTGGTAACTCTGCAGTAGTAGGGGTGGACTCATAATCTACGATGGTAGGCTTTCCGTAGTGGCCTTTCTTAAGGTACCTTGTGATTCTTCCCTCCAGGCATTGAAGTCCAGCATTAACGTATTTGGAGATCTCAGTTTTGTCACCTCATTGTCTTCCTTCAATGCCCTTGGTTCCCTCCATTATTGAATATCAATTTTGACTTGATGGACGGGTAGGCCCTAGTCTGGATCGAAAATTAGTCTGAAACAAGAGTTATCCAAGTCACCTATGCAAATATCCTTCTATGCTCAAAGGCAGTGGGCTTGTAAAATAGTGATGGTTTAAGTGATGAAAGAGGGCTTAGGGTGGAATAGTGATCATGGGCTTGTTAAAGAGTTGGGCTTAGGATTTGAAAACAATGGGTTTGGAAATTGAAGCGAAAATCCACAATGGGTTAGGATCTCAAAACAGTAGGATTTGAAAAAACATAGGTGCGTGGCTTAGGACTTGAAAGCAGAGGAGAGTGGCTTAGGATTTCAAACTAGAGGATTTGAAAGCAGAGGTAGCTATTGGATATTGCGGTTGGGCTATTAATGAAGCGAAAAACAGAGGTGCCTATATTGCGGTTGCAGTGGCTATTGGAAAAAAACAGTAGTGGCTATTGGGCTTGAGGTGGCTTGATGATGAGGAAAGAAACATGTAAATGCTTGCAGAACTATAGTGGTGACGGAAGGCTAAGTATTCTTGCCGTAATGGCTTGTATGTGTTGGTGGATTTGAGGTAGCTTGCAGAAGCATAGGCAGAAGTAAAGGCAACTTTTTTCTTCACAATCTGAATGAAAATTGGTCACGGTCATGGCAGCTATGAAGACTCCGAATGAAATTTAATCATGATGGATGATTGACATCGATGAAGATTTCATCAATTGAGTTAAGGTTTTGGTTCTAATCAAATATCCAAGTTAGGGTTTTGGTTCTAGTCAAATATAAATCTTAAATTTAAATAAATCCTCAGATGCTAGTCAGAGTAAATCTAAATAATAATTTCTAGATAATAGGTAACCAAATCTAAATAATAATCCTAGATAACACGTAACTAAATCTAAATAAATCCAACTTCAACAACTTCCCTTATACACTCATTAAGACTAAGATATCATACAAATATCTCTTTAACGTAAGGCTAAACCTTGACAGATAGTTTATAAGGATTTATCATTAAGACTAAGTAAAAAATTACTATCATACAAAATAAAATTAAAATATGCAAGCACTTAAGAACTTAAGAACTGTATCAATAAAATGCTCGAAGGAAAGTGCCACTTATCCAACATGCTATATAGACATGTCTCATCTACATTGAATTTATATGTAGCCTTATTTAGAAAAGTAAAGCAAGTCGAGGGAAGGCATCAAAGATATGAGTGAAACTTTGTTTCCCCTGTATGTTTAAAAAAGTCAAATGCATTTCAGCTCTCCAAAAACAGACTGATTTTTTTTTTTTTCCCCCCATAAAACTGGGTGTTACTGATAGAAAAATTAGAAGCAAGTAAAAAAATTAATACCTGTGGCAGCAGTGTAGGAAAAGAAGTAAGAAATTTATTCCGATTTACATTCAGAAATTCTAAAACTGCTTCTGCAACAATTGGATCTGCAAACTCACTGAAAGCATATTAGAATAAGATCAAAGGGCGCATCATGGTCAGCATATCAATATATTGTAAAATTGAAATTGAGGGGTTTTCCACCAAAAAAGTACTACAAGTATAAATTTATTCTGATTTGCATTCAGAAATTCTAGAACTGCTTCTGTAACAATCGAATCTTCAAACTCAAAGTGATCATATTAGAGTAAGAGCAAAGGGTGTATGATGGTCACTTTGATGGTCAGCATATCAGAACATTGTAAAAATGAGAATGGAGGGGTTTTCCACAAAAATGCTACAACACAGTGAAAAGATAGTTATGCAATGGCACTATCTTTTCATCTTGGAACTTAATTTTTTTTTTTAAAACACAAAGCAAGCCACGAGACTAGACTAAACTATACAGACATGCACTTAAAAGTGACCACAAAAAAGTGATCAGAAAGAGCTATACAAAGCAGGATCCCAATTACTGATTTAGTTAGTTTGGAAGTTAATTGTCTGTATGCTTGTGGTTATGCTTGTCCTAGGCTCCTAGCCAGTTCCTTTATTGGGGTAAGTTATTCATGCACTACCATTCAAAGGCGCAGAGAGTTTTGGAGGACTATTCTTGAGATTGCTAATAAATTGTGAAAAGGGAGGAACTTCTACATCTCCAATGATAGGGCCCTCACTTTAGCAAACGTGATTTTATCAGACATGCGAACTTGCTACTTTTAGGTCCTCGAGCCTCTTACTGAGTTATTTCAGAGTCGAGAACTGAAATTAAAAATCTTTTGAGCTGCCCAGAAGAAACTAGGGGAAACAGTTTCCTTGAAGAACATAGCACTGGTAAGATTGACTTGTTTCTCCTTACTGGTTTCAGGGACCTCAGATAATATATTGAGGAAGCTTTTCCACCAAACTTCTCAATGATATCCAGGATCACTAAACAAAATTCTTGAAATGTGGAGTCCAAATATAACCCTTTTCTAAGAACTTAGAAACCGAAAAGATATTTAGCCCCTAATGATTCAGAGCCAAGCAAAATATTCATGTATTAAAGTAATGTAAAGAAACAACTTCTATATGATTCTGCAGTACAGAATCCCCTACAAAATGAATATATAACAATTTTGCGTTTATTCTCTTCTTACAGCACGTAAGTTAACTGTCGCAAGTAAGTCAAATGCTTTAAACTTTTAATTCGAAAGGGAATTTTTTATAAGCAATATTAATTGACAAGAGATGGATTTTGATAACCAATATTTTGATGAACATAAATAAAACCAAGTACTTAAAGACATAATAATACAAAGCCTATGCTTACCGGCTCAGACATGAACGGAAAAATGTCTTCAGACTGGGATCAGCATCATGTAAAACCATTTCACCAAAATCAATGAAAAATTGAAGAATGGCCTGATAAACAAGTGAAAAAGTATTAAAAGAGAACTTACGACGACATCTTAGCATCTGATTCTTGGAAGACACGGCATAAAAGATACTCAGCAGTAATAATCTAAAAAAATCGAGAAATCGATGTAGAGGATGATACCCTATAACCCTATACTGTAATAGCATATATCCACTAAAAAGAACGTACAATAAAAAAAGACCCAGGAGAGGTAACCTCCAGTAAATTAACAATAAAATAAAACTGAACTCAGAACTCCTCAAATTCACCTGATGCTCTAGATTGTACAAAGAAAGAAAGGGGAGACAAAAAACCAAACGTCAAAGAAATCATAAAGAACACAATTGGACAAGTAAATGGGGTCATCTTTTTTGGTCACTTTTCATGCAACCTAGCATCATCTGAGAGACAACATAATCGATTGTTCCTCCATTTATTGAGGAAGTTAACCCATTAAGTAAACCAATTACTAAAAGAATAACCAATACTATATATCATATAATATTAATATATAAACATATTGTTCTTTGGGAGGTTGTATCCTTGAACATTTTCCGTTTTCATTATATCAATGAGAACTTGTTTCTTGTTCAAAAAAATATACACGTCAAATAAAATAATGATAATAACAATAATAAAGAAATTATCATCCAAAAACCTACTCCATCAGTTTCCTTCTTAAAAAATAACTTGCCCTCAAATTTAATGTGGTGAGTGTTGAGGATGGTTGGGAGGGAGTCCCACATTGGCAAATTTAAGGAATAATCATGGATTTACAAGTAAGGAATACATCTCCATTGGTATGAGGCCTTTTGGGGAAGCCCAAAGCAAAGCCATGAGAGCTTATGCTCAAATTGGACAATATAATACCATTGTGGAGAGTCGTGATTCCTAACATGGTATCAGAGTCATACCCTTAACTTAGCCATGTCAATAGAATCCTCAAATGTTGAACAAAAAGGTATTGAGTCTCAAAGGTGTAGTCAAAAGTGACACAAGTGTCAAACGAATGGTGTACTTTGTTCGAGGACTCCAGATAAAGAATTGAGCCTCGATTAAGGGGAGGCTATTCTAAGGCTTCATAGGCCTCAGGGGAGACTCTATTGTGTATTTTGTTTGAGGGGAGGGAATTGAGCCTCGATTAAGGGGAGGCTATTCTAAGGCTTCATAGGCCTCATGGGAGACTCTATAGTGTATTTTGTCCGAGGGGAGGATTGTTGAGGATGGTTGGTTGGGAGTCCCACATTGGCTAATTTAAGGAATGATCATGGGTTTATAAGAAATATATCTCCATTGGTATGAGGCCATTTGGAGAAGCCCAAAGCAAAGCCATGAGAGCTTATTCTCAAAGTGGACAATATCATACCATTGTGAAGAATCCTGATTCTGATTCCTAACACAGGGATGTATGGAACAAAGAACATTAAAGGCTGAAATTTCGCTTCTTGTGAGGTAGAAAAGCTCCAACTGAAAATGTGGTCTTCAGACTACCTATCAGAACACTGGTCACACATACATCAACCACCAATAACTACAAGATATATAAAGCCATCTTGGGGCCTGCGGATTATGCAACCTCACATTTGAAAAGCATAAAATCCAAGATGAAGATTTCCATCCAACTTCTGAATTTATCTTAATTTGAATGAACAATACTAAAATAATGAAGGCGAAGCCAGTTGAAAAAATAGTCATATGCCCACGAAGCATTCCTTGTCTACAGTTTTAGTGGATGGAAGAAATTTCCCGACACAATAAAAAAGAATCCCAAGCGAAAAGAGAAAAAAAATCAATCATCCTCCAGTGTAAAGATTTATGAAAGTAAATTCAATAGATAAGAAAGCACACCAGTAAGAGGAGGCCATTAGAAGTTCCAGATTGAGACAAAGACGACACTGAACGCTGAAAAATCTTGTTAAACTGAGGATAAACCCGAGCCACCAAATCCTCAGAATTCTCAGCTTTGCACAATTCATATAGCCTTTTAACCTGAAGAAATGAATTTATGCACAAACGAGTGAGGAACAATTCGAAATAAACAACAAAACTCACTTTAAGACAAGTAAAAGAGCATATTACAGAGACTCGAACAGTATCCCTCATAATTTTCTGGGGAACCAAACAGAAATCAAGAACAAAACTCACTGATTGAAGTATATTAGGATCGGAAGCGGGATCGTTGCCGGAATTCGAGTCTCTGGCACTGTTGGATAAGGTTCTCAGATGAAAATCCCAATCCTGGTCTCGATCCACCATTTTCATGGATCAAAATCTTGGAGAAATTAGAAGTGAGGAACGAGGATGCTGCTTTGGTTGGGGGTACATAGGTAATATTTGCTGAAAATTGATGTTTTCAATAATTATAAAAAATAAATAAAAAAATAAAAAATAAAAACCAAATTATACTTTTTATCTCAAAAATACAAATAAACTTTAAAAATATACTTAGAATATATATATATATATTTATTATTAATTTGGTATGGAAACTAAAAGGTTAATATTTATTTTTAAAATATTCCCGAAATTTAGTTACAAAAACACCTTTAAATTTTTAAAAGTCCATTAATACCCTTTTTTAATTTTTTTTTTTAAATTTTAAAAAATAACCGTAAAACTTTAAAAATACCATTAATATATTTATTTTTATAAAACAAGTTAAAAAAATTCTTACGTCAATATATAGACAAAAAAAAAAAAAAAAAAAAAAAATCGTCTGA